TTATCTACGTGAGTAAATAATGCCATATTAGGAGGCATTCCTGTAGCAGAAACTCAAACGCCTGGAGTAGCGAATTCGTGAGTGCCACGTGATTTAGTCAGTGTTACATTATGGCGACGCTTGCGCAGCACAATGATGAAAGCGACACAGACAATAGCGACAGCCACGACTCCACCGACCACCCCAACAGTGACAACATGGGCAGGAGCAGACGAGTCTTTATCCTCATCAACAACAGTGTCAGCTGAAGATAAAAAATAAAATTCCGATTAAAAGAATTAAGTTCAATTCTTTTTGTTAAATACGCGCGATCAGTCGATTTTCTTAGTTCGAAAAGGGAGGTTATTTGTATTTTTTTTTATTGATATTTGTATTTTCATTAAATATTAAAGCCAAATCAATAGCGTGATTTGATGAGAGGCCGATGTTTCGTTTGCCATCATAGCCCAAATCATGATAACGAATCCATTGAACAGAAGAGTGGATACAAACCTTGCTCTTTCCCTTCACCAGCATCTACAAATGTAAAAGGACCAGCTCTAATGTAGTATAAGGTTTTCGAGGTCTCGTCTAAAGTACTACGTCTTTTTCGATCACCGCAATTGCACTCGCACCCAGGAAAACCGTCATAACAAACTTTGGCTGTGACGGTAAATACAATTTTCTCATTCACCGTTTGACCAGAGATACGAAAAGCTTTAAATGGAAATTCGTCTTCATTACCACCATCACAGGAGGTTGGGTTATCCACCAAACCAGCGGCTTGTTGGATGTCATCCGCACAGCTGAATGTAAATCGAAACCTCTCTTTAGTAAATCATTCAGAAATCAATTTGTAACCAACTTAGGTATCATTTCAAAATACATTTCCTTTCCTGAAGCGCTTTGGTGTGAATAGGGAATTATTTGCGACTCAACTTCCCTGCTTACCAAATTCGTTATTATGGAAGCTGTGGTCAGTTTCTTACTTTTAACTTCTATTCGCTTCGAACAGGTTCTAACAACTTCCTTATGTGGTTATCTTGTTCTCATTTTGAGTCATCTCCACGTCACGTACACACATATTCTGATAAACAGCTTTGCATGTTTGAGCAAAGAAGCGGACCCCTTTACACACCAATCAGTTATGGTTTCAAAAAGTTAAAGACCATGACAGTTAAGTAGAATATCTTCTACATTAAAGACTACGAATACTCATGGGAGATTAATCCTAATATGATAGCCGAGAAAATAAAGCAAATCTATTCGATATATCGATGAAAATGAGCTAAAACTCGCATCAGTATGTATGTGAGTGTTGTTAATAAAGAAACTGCTTTCGACAGCTATAGAAAAACTTTGGAACTTACCCTGCACTGACCAAATAGACCGGTGCCGGCGGGTTATCCGGGGTTTCTTTGTCTGCCGTGACAGATATGAAAAAAACGGTAAACTTATTGGCTGGAAAACCAGATTCTGAAACCGTCAATTTTCCGACAAGGTCTGTCCCCAAAGCAATTGCTGTCTACCGGGTCGTTGCCGTTGAATAACTCAAAGGTGAAAGCCAGCTCACCATTATCTGAAAAAAATGTTACACAAGAAAAGGCGGAGAACATTTACTGATGAATCCTCCATAAAAGAAGAAAACATACACTAGAAAAAGTAGTTTTAGGTTTACTATCTAAATTAGATTGTTAAAACCATAAAAACTGAGACTTATTTGACGTTTCGTTACTTTTTAGACGGTTTTTGTGGATATCATATTATCACGCTGTACTAACGCTAGGTTTATTTCTTTGAGTATTTCCAAGCCCTGTAAACTTTTCATTCTGTTTTATCTTTTTCTTCTTTTAAATTTGAAATTTACGTTCCATAACCCTGTTTATTGTAATTATCTGTGAATTTATCAAACCTCTTCAACGCCATACCTTGAAAAGATGTTAATTTTCTTTTTCATTTTCTACAGGTAAGATTATTGAATGTACTTAAATTCATCGTTCGTACACTTTTCTTTTGTTTTTCTCTTCAAGTGAGCATAATTCTCCAAGATTCCGACTGTAGCATGTTTTTTTTGATAAATTTGACAAAATATACACTCGCGAATAAAAAACTGCGACAGGTAATTACGAAATAAGGTAAATGCGATGGAGTTTTGTGAAATTATCACTTCAAGTGACATCACATATCACTGAGCTATCAGCAGGGAACGCATTACTTTGCCCAAGTGGCAATAACTTTAGCGTAAGCTGTTAATCATCCCTACTTACCGGTGCCAGTTTCGGTGACTGAATGTTGAGGTAGGAAGCTGGCCTGAAGACCCACTTTTTCTTTGTTGTACGTACATGTTATCGTGTAATCGTGGTCATATTGAAAAGTTGGACTACCAGTAGCATTAACTTGGATCTGAAACACGTAGTCCAAATTATTTCCGTTGGCGCTCTCTGTCAACGAGGTCTTGCAATCACTGGCTTCGAACGGACCATATTTCACTTTGTTTGCTTCAGCAAGCGATGGCTGACAGTCTGTGTTCGGAGCTCCTCCGTCATGTTTCAACTCCCATACGGCTTCATCCGCGTCACTCCACTGATCGCGATCGCGATTGAGGAGTGTAAACTCGATATTTGAGCCGTCTCGCAGTTAATATCTTCAATAGAAGTTGCCTCTTGTTCATAAGCTGTTAAAAAAAAAATACAACAATTTCGAACCTTTTACGTAATGAAATTAGAGTGAGTCAGTTGGGCTTGAGTCAGTACTGAAGCCAATTTATCAATAAAATGTATATAATTCAACATACATCGATTGTGTTGTTGGGTTATGGAGACGACAAGGGTGACATCATTCAATTTCTGTGGTCTAAAAAAAAGATTGCTGATACAAAACTGACATGGCTGACCTATAGGCTACTCATATCCACACTCGTTCTTTAATCGTGAAACATTTACAAATATTTCTGAACTTTTTTTTTTTAAGAAACAGCTGATTTTAGCCGATAAATAAATAACTTAGACCATCAAGGTGTCTTCAAAATGTTTCGATGAACATGGAAAGCTACTGGACTTCCTTTAGCCTAAAAATTTTCACTAAATGTAATAACATACAAAGGTAAACTTACAAGGCGCAGGGTAAAACGCAAGAAGGACGAGACTGATCGACAGACAAGATGGTTGCTTCATTTTTTCTTACTTCTCACTGGGCTTTCCGAGGAACACTTGCAGAAGTTGATTTCCTGAAAAAGATAAAACCATTATAAAAGGTCATCTCTGTTTCTTAGTTATCTTCATGTCTCCCCCTGCCTGGAAAAATTTAGAAAAAATGGGAAGATATAATTACTTAATGCGGATATCAATCCGTAGATGATCCTATGAAAAAAGAAGTGGAAAGTAGTTTTATATAAGGGCTCTAACTCCGCACTTTAAATCCAACAAACACGCAAATTCGTGAATATCATTGCCCATGCATAACCTCAACTAATCAAGGTTAACGTAATGGTTTTTTTACCCTTCAAAAAAGTGATTAACAAAATAATTATAAGATCTTCATCAGGAACTGAATCGATCAGTGCCTTACATTGATAGTAACAAGTTGTTTCGCTTTTGGGTTTTTCTGAAAAGCATTTGAACTCATATGACATGATAATGAACCAAAATCAATCAAAAGAGAACTGAAACTGCTGAGCATGATGTTTTCTAGTATAGGGTGATGTACAGTGTTTGGTTTGCGAAATGTCTCCAATCATTGGAACTTAATTTTGTAGCCACATTCTCATTTTGATGTTACCTCGTATATTTTTTTGTTTTCCTTTGTCTTGAATGTCAAGGAAATGTAAAATCTCAGATCATAAACTAAAACTTCTTCTAGCTTTAAAGATAACGACTGCTCTATTTAAATTTATGTTGATCTTTCGATGCATCCCATGATACATTACTTGAATGTTCAGAGCGTTTGTTCGAAATTGCTTAATGCCAGACACACAATTCTATCGGCGTTTTCTTGATGCACAATCCCGCCCGTTTTTGAACGACTGTTTTTTATTCCTTTGGTTTTTCTCAGGAAAAATAAGGCACAAGACAGAAATCACAGAACATGCACAAATTTGCAAATATGTAAATTTGTTGGGGTTACCAGAGAATCGGTTACTAGAGTCTATTAAAAAATTGCCGAGAAAAATGTGCTAGAAATATTTCTTCATTAAAAAAGAGTGCTATAACTGACCGTTGAGAAGCAGATCGAGCGCATTTCTTGCATTTGCATCTCTTTCATTGTCATTTTTTACTTTTCATAGAAGCCCAGAGACCCTGCCAGTTTTACAAACAACAATGAACCGCTGCTTTTAGACTCATCTCGATCTTTTGATAAATTTCTTCGAATATTCCATGCATTTGATTAAACTTCCTTTCGTGTTAAACGAAACCGAAATTGAAAAATGATGGAGCGGCAAGTATTTTGGCTTGAAAAAGGAAACAAAACATTAAACTGTCTTACTGGTTGCTCTTTCTTCCAATTTAGTGAATTCATGTCTTTTATTTGGGAAGGTATCTTTTAATCCGAAGAAAAGTCTCATCCCTTGCTCCCATAATTCCTACCAACAATGCGTGGATAATAGCATTTGCTCTAAAATCAGTCAATCTGAACACTAAAGTCTTGGTCACAGTTTGTCTCAACGAAAGATGGAAGAGCAACGGAAGAGCAAAACAGTCGTTAAGTTGCAAAAGTTAGAGAGCAAATAAGATTCCTTTCATTTCCGCACTCTTCACAAAGTGGTAGAACGCAATCTCAGTCATCCTATCCATTGTTCCTTAGAAAGTTCTGAATGCTTAAATCATCGCTGACTAAATCTAAGCAATCTAAAATAACAGTAGAGGACACGCCATGAGCGGCTTCCTTCGCCTTCCAGGCCAATTGTGCTTGCATGGCCAGAAATCTGTGACAGTCAGCGGTTTGAAACGGGGGCTCGTGTATCGAAAAAAATTCCTACTACGCATGCGTTCTTGCATCAGATTACATACAGCAAATTATGGCGAGCGGCGTAAGGGATTCGAGCAAGAATAGCCGCGGTTTATTTCTTCAATTACACAATGTTTCTTCTGCGGACCTTCTTTGGGATGAAAAAAAAAGTAGAAAAAGGAAAGCTAATGTTTCTTCTGATTATTTTGCCGTGGAAAGGTTAATCTCGAGGAGGACATCACATGGAACGGTGAGTTCACAATTTGCCCTGGTCTACGATGTATGTCATTAATTTTCTTACATGCTAAAGTTTTATAATTAAAATCTTCAGGTTCAATATTTGGTGAAATGGAAGGGATACAGCGCGTTTCATAATAGTTGGGAAGATGAAGATAACTTGACTACCGATCTTATTAGGTATTTATTGTTGTATCATTTTTTCAAACTGTACTTAAATTACCATTACAATTGAACATGCTGAAATACGGAATTAACAAGAGAGATGCACTCGTATAAGCTCATTCATAGAAAGGTTTATACTTAACTAATTTTTTTCACCAATAATACACGCAGTGATTGCTGCTTTTCTTTTTCTTCTGCCTTTGCATTGCTTTGAGTATTACTTGTTCATAGACAACCCCTCTTACAATGTTTCCATTTTCATTATTTTTCTTACAGAACTTATGACAAGCCAATTGTTGATAAAGAGAGGCTAACTCGAAACGTTGATAATCTGAGATTATCAGTCCTCTTTAAATTAAGAAGCAAATCAAGGTCTAATGCTATTTTGGACTTTGATCATGATTGTTTTCGTTTTTTGTTTTATGGTAAAGGAAGGGAGGGAAGGGAGAAGGGGTATACTTTGTTAGATAAGGATGATTTTAAAAAATGTGATTTACCAGAAAACTGGGATAGGGTTATTGATTGTAATGGGGATGGGGTAAGGGTTAAATATCCATTTAAAATTAGATTGTTTTTAGCAAAATCACCAAAAACATATTCTATTATAAATGGGAAAATTCAAGAAGATCAGAGAATGTTAATTGAGAAACTATCAATTGATTTCAGTCGCCAACCTGTAACTATTCAATCATAGATATTATAAACAGAAAGTGAAATTGAAATTAACTGTAATGGCTTTAGGGACTGTAAGGGGTTCCACCTGAACGCAAAAGCTGATAAGAATATGACCAACAAGTGAGTTGAATGTACAAAATATACATGGCCCCTATCTAATAACCCTAGGCTTAATCCGCAGTATGAATTTGCTTGAAATTGCTTTTATTTACAAAGTTAATTATAATTTTGTTGAGTTGATGTGTTTTCACTGCACTCTTTGCTTGTCATGTAGCTTTTCATGTGAGTTTGTTTATATAATTTTGAATGTGTAAGGGAGTCCCCCCTTAGAGTAACTAAAGCCATTTCATGCTCCCAGAATACTAAATATTCCATATTTTCTCATTGACAAATTTCCTCCAGTTGTTTAATTAGTTCAGCCTTGGTTTTGTTGCTGAATCCTCTTGCATTTCTCTTCTTTAATTCTTCTTTCAATTGCTTCACTGTCATATGAGAACAGCTAGTGTCAGTGGTAGTGGACTCAGGGAGGGGATGTTCATTTTGAGCTTCAATAGATTGCTGGAGAGGATCTTGACTTAAATTTACTCGTGCCTTTTTTCGGTTTTCTTTAATTTCAACATCCCAGTAGCTCTCCTTGCGCTTCATGTAATTGCGTACTTCCCGCTCGTGTTCTTTAAGCTCCCACTGACGTTGCTCTTGTCACAGAACATCTCCTGCAGAATCCCACTTGTTGGACTTTCTCAGAATTATTGCACGTGCTACATCATTGTTCTTTTCAACTCCTTGCCCTGTAAATATTTTGACTGAGTGGTGGAGCTCAAAGAACTTGGGAATGTGTGCTACCATAATGTGCATGTATGGGGTAACTCTGGCTTTCTCATACCCTTCTCTTTTGCCATTTAGACTGACAAAAAGAGAAATCCACTCTTTGGCTTTCATGAAAAATTCTGTGGGGTCTTTCTCAGGGTTCCAGTCATTGACAACTTTGTAAATTTCTGCAAACTCTGTCCAGACTGCAACCACAGTTGATGCTGTTTCTGGGTGGAGAATGCTATGTAGCTTACTGGGAAGGTCAGCTAAAAGGATCTTTTTGTCTTTTCCAAGGAGACTTGTCCAGTCATGTTTCCCGCTACCTTTCCCATCTGCATTTCTTAGTTCCCACACATCAAAAGAAACACCACAAGATTTGATTACCCTAATAAGGCTTTTTAGGTGTAATCCTGTTGCTGCCCCCTTTTTATGGTCTAAGTCATCATCTTTATCCCAATCAAGGCACTCCTGCACTAGATTTCCAATCAAAATATCTGTGATTCTCAGCATTAAGTGCAGCTCGTCTACCACTATACGATCCAGTGGTATATTTAATATAGGTTGTTTATCACAACAGTAATTATCTCTGGATTTTTTAGACATTTCAAACATTTCTTTCAGTGTTCTTGCTAAGGGGGGAGTGTTATAACTTGTATAGTCATTGTTGATTCTCCAGCGATCATTTTTGTGTGTTTTACACCAGGCACAAGCATAATTAGATGTTGCCCCCTTCAGTCCAAGCATCAGTAAAATAAATTTATAATCACCACCAAGATATAATTCAGTTTGAATCTCTTGGCCATCCACATTCATTTTACCTTTGGCAGTCAAGTCATTTACCTCATTGAATAAACTCTGGAATGACTCTTTTATTGTGTGGTAACTCTCGGTTCCATTGACTATGCCAAGAGTTCTGTTTCCTTTTGCAGACATTACGGACTCCTCTGTTTGCAGAATGGAAAATGAAAGTAAAATAAAATTTGAATTTCTTGTCATTGTGGCACCATCACCATTGATTTTGATTTTGATTTTATCATTGATGGGGTCAAAGTCACTGTTTTGCTTCAGGAAATCAGAGATATGTATTTTAAACACTGTTTCAGCGGAAGTTACTTTGGCCCCTTCAAACTTAGCATTTAGAGGTTCAATTTTGCTCATTTTGTTCAGTTGATCACGGCATTGTTTGACCAAGTAGGACCTTGGTAGACTATCAGTGATCATGGAAATTTCATGGTAAAATGAATCCCCCACACAAAATTTGTCCAGTAAGAAAAGGATTTTTTCAACATTCTCTTTTTCATGTGTGGACAAGGTACTATACTTTCTTTCTCCTGCTTGAGTGGGTAAATCTTGACAGTTGGGTTCACTTGTTATGTTGTGAACCACATCACTGTCTGATTCTTTGACAGTTAACCCAACTAGTTCAACACCAAAGGAAGAGCAGAACCAGAGAGCAGCTTCGGCTCGTGAAATAAAAGTTTTCAAGGTCCTGAACTTATTTTTCACAGTTGAAAGAGGTTTTCCCTGGTATGAACTAACTCCCACAGAATTTTCCAATGATGCAATATAATCTTCAAGCTCTTTGTTTGTCTTCTGCAAAACTTGGGTTTCATTTTCCTTTTGGTTCACTGCCAGCACCATTTCCTCATAGATTCTTTCCTTCTCCAACTCTAAATCTTCATAGGCCTTTTTCCAATCTTGTAGCTCATTTTGTATGTTTTCAATTTCTTGATAGAGTTCATGTACAGGTTTTGTTTGACCCTCCATAACATGAAACTTTCGGACTCGATTATCCAACTCTTTTCTTGCCCTGCCCTTAGTTTTTTTGTAATCTAATGAAATTTTATAAGCAATATTTAACAAAGCTTCATCGATTCCATCTCGTATATTTTCATCATCGCTAAAGGCAAAGCATTGCCCGAATGTGCACTTTTCCACCAAATCTATGTAGCTGAACCTTTTTGCCGTGGGTGAATTTTCTGCTGCGCTTGTAGAAGGAGAATTTGCCTCTATCTCTTCACATCCGCTTGACAAATCTTGACCGGAAGTGTCACGCGACAGAACGTTTCGTTCTTGAAAAGTTTTATGCCATTCTCTAAAAAGAGGATAAGGAATTTCCAAAGTAAAAAGCACTCTTTTCTCTTTTTCCCTCGCCTCATATCTTAATTCCGGTTGAGTGAATTTGATTGCATCCTTAAAACGCGAGCAACATTGACTAAATTCGTCGCTCATTTTACTTGCAAATTTTCGGATATTGTGTAACGCCATTGCACAATTTATTAAAGGCACGGTTACATAGGTCAAGTAAAGCATTTTGGGATTCAAGATGGAGGACGAAGGGGCTAGAAACTACGGTTGACGGTCGACTAAAAACATGGCGTTTTCCCGAAATTTTTCTTGGGTTTTAAAAATGGCGTCACATTGAGAACTATTTAGCAGTATTTGGGCCGTTTTTCCACCAAGTTTGGAACCGATTTAGTGGCTTCAATGGCTCCTATTTTTGCACTATAAATGAAGTTTAGCATGTGAACAAACCAGTTCGATCTGGAAGAACATTCCTGTGAACCCGTAAAGTGGGTTGATTTTCGACAATTTATGCTACCTTCGGACAGTTATTAAGGAAATGTATGGCGGAGTGCGAGGATTTCTACGTCCAACAAAAATTGCTTCGGGAACCGCTTTAACACATGCAAATGCACACAGAGCACGCAGCGAAAGGTTGTACATATAATCCACTTTATTTTGCGATCTGGAAGAACTTGTCTCCTCTGGCGGTTGTAACACAGGAGCCGGCAATTATTAAAAGAAGGTTAGCTGAAAGTGCACTGTTTTCCTTGTAGTGATTTTGCGACTCGTTTGTAACCTAAGACCGAGTTCGACATCGATGCGCGTGCGTGGCGGCCATGCTGTCACGGATTTCTGGCCATGGCACCTCTCTTGGTTGAGCAAGCCGCAAAAATAACAGTGAGTAAAGACTTACCAAAGCTTGGAAATGTACTTCTCCTAGAAATTGCTTTTGAAAGGAGAAGTTCGTAAGTTGAAAAACTGAAAAGTAATAGATGCAAGGTCTACCATCGACGAGCTACGTTTACCTGTCTCAGAGCTTGGTTGTAAATGACGTAAGACAGCTTGTGCGGACTTCTTAACAACTCGAAAGCAAAAGGATAGAGACCTAATGGTTCACTGGACAGACCGTTGACCGTGACATTTGAGAATAAAAGATGGTCTTCATGCTTGAGGCATTCACTGTAGTAATTAACAGGGAGCAATTTTCTAACTATCTGCTGCCAAGGTAACTGTTATTTTCATGAACTTTCTGAGAATCACGGCAAATAGAAAAAGAGTATAAAAATGATTTAATGATTTATTCTAGAATCAATTCCTACAGAATTGTAATGCCATCTTACCTTTTCAACTTCTCGTGATTGTTCACGACAGCAGGTGAATTGAACAAAAGGACCACTGTCTACTTCAAGGAATAAAATAACGTTCGCTATTCCTATTCCTTCCCCGCCCCCTGGGAAATTCCATCACGTGACTCCTAAACTAGATTTTTCCAAAAATATTACAATTTTATAATTCACGAACAGCTAATCAAGGGAGGTGAAACCTGATACTGACATCGCAGAATATATCATGATTTGAAATTTGGGATTGTCGTTTCACCGTACAAAGAGAAAATAAGTTTCAAAAATGAAGTGAAAAAGCTTCCGGAGACAGGTCCTTGAACTTGGCCTTCTTTTGAAAGGAAGATGTTTCCTTGAAATTTTAAAATGGCCAATTATTAAATGAACAAGCCGTTATTAGAGATTCTGCAAATAGTTTTTTTTATCCGCTAAAATACTAACACGCAGATTTCTTGCAACTGAGCAAAG